ATTTCTTAGGAACTGCGGTCTTCGTTAATTGTTCAAAATTATCATCATGGTCTAAAAGTAAAACGTAAAGTAACAGCCTATACATGTCCCACTGCTGGGCAAAGGCCTCCTCTATACAGAGGGTATCAGGGCATAGTCCACCACGCGGCCCCACTGCGGATTGGCGGACTTCACATATCTTCGAAATATTTTTTTGTTATTATTTCGAAAATATGCAGGTTTCCTCACGATGTTTTCCTTCACCGCGGAGCACGTGATAAGTCAGCACTTAAAGTTAAAAACTTCATTGGTGCCGGCACCTGGGATCGAACTCAGGTTGCTCGAGTATATTGAATTAAAGACGAGCGCCCGGACACTGAGCTATCACGGCTTCATATAGATAAGGCATCATGGTCTATTCAAGGATTTTTAATGTCTTTCAGAGGTTTACAAACATAATCTAATTGTAGTGTCGATATTTTTAAACCATTCAAAGAACTCCTCTATCGAGAGTCAATATGAAAAGATATCAGAGTAAATATCGATATTTTGATACTATTGGAACAATCCCGACCCTAACTCTAAATACTTTCGCAGATTTCTGTATACAATACGAATACATTAATTTGTACTTAAAATACCTACTACTAAATATTAAACTTGTTGATTTTAGCTGCACACAATTTTCTTTAGCGAGCGTTAACTTGAAATAAGTCTTGAATTAAGCTTTTTACAATTTTGCGATACGATAAAATTATTATAACGTTATTTAGAGATTTTCATTTTGTAAAATGATGTATTACATAGAGCGGGTATTGTCGCTTTGAAAAATACACTGAGTATTTTTTTTTTACTTTGCGAATAAGTGTTGGCTAGATAAGGCATTTTTTGGAGTTGTACTTCTTTTGGCACGTTAGGGAAAAATGATAAGAGTTTTAACGATGCGCGCGCAAACCGTCACGAAAAACCGACACCCTGAAGTTAGCCACTCAAACGTCGACTTTATGACAACTGTCATAGGGTCCACCGTCCAAAATGTCCATTTCTTTAATTATGTAGAAATATTTTTTTAATACAGTTGCTCAAAAAGTGGCGTATTGCAGGGACGTATAGCGTTCGGGATGTGGGCTATAGGATATGGATATAATAATATAGTTGATCTTTTTCTTTACCTTTTCTAAACCCGTGCGTTCTCTTTCCCAACTGTCAATGTTTATTCTTCTATTAAATTGCTTAACTTTTTCGCAACTGTATTAAAAACAGTTGCTCAGTACACGTGCGAAACCGTTATTGCAACTTGTTCCGACTGTCAAACCTCACCTTCGGCGGCGCCTCGGCTCGGGTAGACATTTGTCGGAACTCTTTGCAATGACAGGCTTTCCGCACTCGTAATGAAATACACTATTTTGTGACATTTAAATAAACTTTATTTAACTAGATAAAGTAAAGCAAGTAAAGTAACAGCCTATACATGTCACACTGCTGGGCAAAGGCCTCCTCTATACAGAGAGTATTAGGGCATAGTCCACCACGCGGCCTAACTGCGGATTGGCGGACTTCACATATCTTCGAAATATTTTTTTTTGTTATTATTTCGAAAATATGCAGGTTTCCTCACGATGTTTTTCCTTCACCGCGGAGCACGTGATAAGTCAGCACTTAAATAGTTTTTTCTTGATTTTACGCGAATATTTTACATATTAAATGAAACTACTTTACGGATTTTATCGCGTTTTTTTATTTTAATTTAAATTCCCGACGTTTCGAACCCTTTCCAGCGTTCATGGTCACGGGACAGACACGAACAGACGACGAAACGTCGGGAATTTAAATTAAAATAAAAAAACGCGATAAAATCCGTAAAGTAGTTTCATTTAATCAGCACTTAAAGTTAAAAACTTCATTGGTGTCGGCACCGGGGATCGAACTCAGGTTGCTCGAGTATATTGAATTAAAGGCGAGCGCCCGGACACTGAGCTATCACGGCTATATTTAACTAGATAATTCGTTATAATAAAACTTTCAATGTATTAAATACGTTTTTTCTATTTTTAGTGTCGTTCTACAAACACAGAATAAGGCGAAAGATAAAATTTTTGAAAAGATTTTTATCTTGTTACGCCAAAGAAGTATAATTTCTAACGCGTGTACATAAGTACACACACACTTTTTTCACTAAGAAATACTATGTATGGCAAAATAAAGATTTTTAATATTCGCATAGGCTAAGATATTTTCATTAAAAATGCGGCGTATACGAATACAAAAATTCGGCTGGAAATTCGGCGTATCAATAGTTTTCACTTCCAGATAAAACATGAATGCCATTTCTTCTCTAAAGGTTATAGATTACCAAATGAAACTATGTTTAAGAAGAAACTTAGACCATGCAACTCATTTATTGCTTCAATTTAATTGTATATAACAGGCAAGAAACTTGCACCGTGTAAATGGGCCTTAAAGGTAGTTTACTGAGGCAGATTACCAAATGAAACTATGTTTAAGAAGAAACTATGTTAAGTGGTACCTTACGAACGTCTATGTATAATTTTTTATGTATTATTTGACGATTCATAAGAAAGCGCAAGCGTCTATTTGAATAAAGATTTTTGATTGATTGATTGATTAAGGATTTATTGCGATTAGTTTTTTTAGTTTTAATTCCCGACGTTTCGAACCTTTCACACGTTCATGGTCACGGGACAGACTCTGTCGACGTCTGAATGTCATAGTTTAACCCGGGCTACTGTCAGTTTAGAAACGTGGGGAATTAAAACTAAAAAATGTAAACGCGATAAATCCGTAAACATAGCTTTATGTAGTGGCCTATATAAATGCTCTGCTGCTAGGCAAAGGTTCCCCCCGTAGAACATTATACAGAGGTCATTAGGGCATAGGCCACGTGCCCCCCTTGTGGATTTTGCAGACTTCTCAAATCTTCGAATTATATTTTTCTCTTTGTTTCGAAAATATGCAGGGATGCTTTCCTTCACCGCTCAGCACGAGGTAAATCAATAAAAACTAACCATAAAATTAATACTTAAAATTAATCATATCATTATTGAAAGTATCGGGATTTGAACACAGTATATTGAATTAAAAGTGAGCGTCCGGTCACTTGGCTATCACGACTATGTCTAGCCTTAAGATTAATAATTTTCAACAAAAAAACCGACTTTAAACCGGAAACTAAAAAACATTGTTGTTAACTATAGCATTTGAGGATTGTCCTTGATTTCTGTAAGATGCCATCATTAGATCTGTTTCCTTATCATGGTACCACCGTTGGGATATATCCTTTCCAACAAAAAAAATAAACATCAAAATCGGTTCATAAACGACGAAGTTATCCGCGAACACACATAAAAAAAAAATAAAAATATATACGGTCGAATTGAGAAACCTCCTTCTTTTTTGAAGTCGGTTAATAAATCAGTGTCGTACGAGATAAAGTATCATTATGGAAGGGTCATTTTGTATCTATCGGCGATGCGAACGGTCAAAGACTTAATCTATTTCTTAATTGAATAATAAGTAAAAACCTATCAAATGCAGATTTAATAGTCATTTAAATTTCTGTTATATTTGATATTTATAGTCACAATAAGCAATCTAAATTGGATCACAGTAGTGATACTTTACCAAGGAGAACAAAAATGTAAAACAATAAAGCAAACACATCACTTATGCACAAAATTTAATTTAACCGGAATGGGGTGGATAGTGAGTAATCTGTGTCAACAGTTTGTATTCTAAAAATGTAGCCATGCTTAAATATATGTAACTAGTGGACCCGACATACGTTGTCCTGTACACACGTCTTAAATTCGAAAATTTCAAACTTTTTTGAATAACTTTGTGAATCTAAAACATTCTCGGATACAACTGAACACCCACAAAAAAAATTCATTAAAATCGGTCCAGCTTTTAGGAGTTCAGTGACGTTCATTTACACACGAACGGAAGAATTATATATATAAAGATAGTAATATAGTTAATTCCTACACATTAAATGATATTTACCCGTGACCGATAAAAATTAACTCATATTCACCTTGCTACCGCAAACTTTGCTTTATCCACACCGAGCACGTGATGGGCTTAAAAACTGCATGCGTTGTACTGAACTGTCTTTTAACAGGAGTGATTGTGCTTTTTGACACTACCCTCTTTTTGAGATAAGATAAGACCCGCAGGGTCTAGTGTGCCAACTTGCCGAATGACATTCTTGTTTCCCAACTTAAGTATATACTAGTCACATATAGGTTGGTTCGACTGACTTGGTTCCACGTGAGACTGAAGTTGAGTTTTGACCACCGGGCGCCCCTCGTGTTTTAAGAATGAGTGTAAACATGATAATTTCACAATATGAGAATAATGAGAATCATGGGAAAATTTTTTCGTGTCCAAGAATCATATGCAAAATAAATACGATCACTTCTCAAAATAACGATGAACTCCTTTGTTGGATTTCGGCCGCCATCCGCAGACCTTGGAGCTGGTTTGATAGTTTATTTTAACAGAGTTTCGAAAACAGCATTCAATTACAGTTTAATTATGAGTGGTGAGAGGATAAAGTATGAAATATTTGTAATACTTACACTATATTCTTACGATAGGAAATATAGAACACATTGGAATTAAAATAATATGCTATATTTCAAATTACATATAGTACTTAATACTAAAATTATATTGCAGTATTATTTATTTTTGCAAACACCTTTATCAATGACATCTCATACAATATGAACAATAAACCAGTTTTTTGATATCTTTTTAATAAATTCCCAATAAATTTAAATATAGGTACTTACATATGTATCTTATACGAATAATATAATATAAATGTTAATAAAACAAGGTTAAGAACTAAAACAATAATTACGCAGATTAAGTAATCCAATATTGAGGGTAATTAAAATAAGGTTTGTTATTTCTTTTTAATAATACTTTGAATGTCCTTATTTCATTTGGACAATGTAGGTATTTATTGGAAAAAAAATGAAAGAATCACTTACGCCGATCATTATATAAAGTCCTTGCGTACGCACAAAACAAAAACATTGTCACTAATAGAGTAACTTTAAAATTAATTCCGAAAGTATCACATCCGAAAGTCGACATTTTTAGTGCAGTGACAAAAAATTACTGAATGTGCACTTGTTTATTTGAAAACTATATTAATCAGTTATGATTTAATTAATAATATTCATATATTGAATTTAAATAAGACGCGAGCGTAACTACGGAATTATGAAACACTGTCACAAGGCTGCAGCCGTCAGTGCACTACCGAGAGATATCTTTTAGAGACAGTTTAAAAGTGTAATTTCGGTGAGGCACAGGCGACCGGTGGAGTTGACATTGGCCATAAAATTATTTACACTAATACATACTGTAAGTAGCACGTTCGACGTGCCACATTTAGGATAGGTTTGGTGTGGAGGTCGTATACTAAGAAAAGTTCTTACACAGATTACCAATTATAGAATAAACCTTAGAATAAATCTTGAAAAACTTTCAGTCTTTCAATTATAACGAATTTGATAGTGAAATTGATCGAAGTTGAATACAATTTTTGTTTCGAATTTATATATATGTATGTATATATTTAAATAAATTTCAATTTAAGAGACCATCTAAAGTAACCACTCTGAGCGCCTTTTGTACCTAGGAAACGCTATGCTGAATGTAGAGATGCTGCTCGTGTAAAGCGAAAATAGCAGAGGGACAAAGCATGAGCCTTGAGGGACTCCTGCCTAGAAAACCTCTTCAAAACTCAGAAAAAAATATAAAAGTTATATATCGTTCGAAAAGGAAACGGTTGGTCGCTCGATTAATAAATCTCTTATTTTGTATTGTATTTGAATGCAGTTTGTTACCCGATTAGTATCGGCGTGTATGGGAATTATATCTAGTATATTATTAGCGTCCTGGAGTTAGTTGGTTTTGATCGGTGTTATCTGATGTGCGCTGGCCCTGTTTAGACTAAAATAAAATAATACGCATGTATCGATATTAAAAAATTAATTAATTAAATAAACATAAACTTTCTTGTACTATTAGAACAAAACGACTAAATATAATATTTATAAAAATATATTTTTAGGATTAATAAATTTATGAAACATTGAACGGGCCCGAGCACGTAAAATTCGAGATCTATTTTTAACTCCTATAATAGTCGCTCTGATAATGCACCCCTGAATCAAAGCAGGAAGTCCCTTGACCACCAGGAAATGCAGATAATATTGTAATGTAAACGTTTATAACGTTAAATGAAATATACAAATTAATGTAAATTGGCGGCGACTTAGTAACTGGGATAACTCGGTTTCACAAACCTCAGGTTTCCGTTCTTTGACTTTCTTACGAACACGAATGACTTTTTTTTATGTGAAATGCTGCCAAGTGAGCAGGCGGTTCACCTGATGTTAAGCGAATACCGCCCCCCATAGACATCTGCTACACCCGAGGGTTATAGATGCGTTGACAACCTTTTGGAAATTGGGCTCCGGCCACCTCGCTCACCTGGCGAAACGCGAAAGTAACGTAAGTAAGTATAACTTCCACTTTACGCCGGTCTTCTGTGAGGTCGTGGTACTTACCCGGATGAGCCTGCCCATTCGTGCAACAGCCGAGGCTGCTGCGTGGCCCTACCACCGTAAGGACTTTAGGAACGTCATGAGGTACCTACAGGTATACACAGGTAAGCAACAATAAATAAATCGTTGTACTCTCAGCATAGAAGGTATTCTGAACGTAACATTAGATTTTTGCAATACGCCTAATGTATTAAAAGTTTAAGCCTAATGTCTAAAGTTTTTCTACAACGCATTCAATCAAGTCTTAAAGTGTAAATGACTAACCAACCATATAAAAGAAGATGTTACTTAAAGATTGGTCTATTATAGTTCCATAGTAGAAACATAAAAGTTTAGCAAAGATACTTTATACTTCACAACAGACTAGTTCTGAAAGGGCGTTTATCATCTGCCACTACATAGCTCACGAAAACCCATCGGTGGGTCAGTAAAAACTGGGCTGTTTCGTGATTTAAACAATCGATAAAAACTTATCATGCCTTTGCATTAACACCAATTGTGCTCACTCATAATTGAGGTTGAACAATGCTGTACGTTTTGACCCTGCTAAGCACTTTCCCAGCTGGCCAACGCCTCGACCTAGATGGTGTCTTTTTGTCTACATTATTCTTGTTTTAACCACGGCTCCACCCGTATGGTTTGTGCAGAAATAGATTATCAACTTTGAACAAACAGCGTATGAACTACCACCGTTTTAGACTTTATAGATTTCTTTGAATTTAAGAACCAAGAAAGGTCTGACGAGATAAAAATTAAGAAACTAACATACTTATATATACAAACTTCTGTTTTTATAACATTTGATACGATATGGTACATCACTGGCTGCTATATTTAGTATTAGTAATACGTATTTTTATACTATATATAATTTCAAACGTCCATCAGAGACCTAATTTTAAGATTGATTGATGATAAAAATGGCAAAATAAAAAGAATAAAAAATTCGACTCCTCCACGACATCGTTGTTCTGTAAATCCCGGCCAATATTTTTCCAGACGAATAAAATAAAAGGAAGGGGTTATTAGGGTTGTTTCTTTAATTTACAATAAAGTCGTTGTGTGCATATAGGGTTATACGTGCAACATTATAAGCACCGATGAAACCGCTTTAATAACTTAAATTATCATTTTCAGATTAATATAGTGTCATAATCGTTCAGAGTTCAGATCACTTAATGTAAACACAAGTAATTCGAGTTCAAATCCCAGTTGTGATAATGTTGTTCAACAACCCGGGACCATCTGAGGAGCTGTAATATTTTTTTTTAAACATTGCCCTCACTTTAAGATAACATTATCCTGTGTTGTAAGGACGTTTAACAAACATAAATTGCACGAGGACAAACAGCCAGATGCGAAACAACTATCTGTGGGTCGCACAAATATTTGTCCCGTGTTGGAATCGAACCCACGACCCCTGACGCCGAAGCCAATACCTTGGTAACTGCGCCAAGGAGTTATAAAAATAGATATACAAAATGCAATTAATCCACCTTTTTAACCGCCATAGGTTGGGTATTTGAGTTATGTTATTGAGTTTACAAAGTATGAACGGAAACAGTACCCTTAAATATAAAAACGTTGTAATATTAACAGGAGTGATCGCCGTGAGACTACGTTGGCTCGGCCACTTGGAGGGAATATATGGGGAAACCAAAAGGGAAGCTTCTCGTCTTGTTAGTCACCCCATGTATCTCTGGAAAGATAAAGTCCACTAATGTTTGGGCGCCAACGGAAGCAACCAATTCCAATCAGCCAACTGGCAAGCAACGGCCCAGAATAGAGATCGGTGGCGTCTTAGTGTCGGAGGCCAATATCCTCTTTGTGTCGCTGAACTAGCGAAGTAATGCACACAATCACTCCCCCTATTAAGGAAATGAAAGGTCCTAATAAATTTTTCAATATCGAGTTCAAGCGTAAATATTTTAAAATTGAACCCAATCTGTAAGGGATTGTAATTTTAATCAAATAAATAGAACAGTGAATTAAAATTTATTTGCCTTTTGATTAGCCTCAAAATGCACAGATTTTTAGTTCTCGCTTTAAATAGTATAAAAATTCTAACAGAATCAATTTGGTGTCAAAACATTTTAATGGGTTAAATTTAGAATATTTCGACGAACCTGCAACAAGTTCTAAACCGACATATCAAATAAAAGATAAAATTATCCGTATCCGTAAAGCTAGCTCTGGACAGACATATTTACCAATACAAAGAACTTTTAAAATTATTATTGAATAAATTGGTTTCTACCTGAACTGAAGAAATAATAATAATTGTATACTCCACTAAAGATTTTTTTTACATATTTTCTGAATGGCAAATGTATCTATTGAAATAGTGACAGAGCGACGTTTGTAGATCAACGAGGACTTGAAACTCGTCTTTCAAGTCGTAGACAATTATTGTTATTTCAATTCGGGATGTTTTCTAAGTAACTATTATATATTATCGCGGAAAAGTTAACTTAACAACAATACGAATGTTAGATGGGCTATAACAAATAACATATATTTATTATAGGCCAGCTGAATAATTGCATAAGGTCAAAGGTTTTTTTGTCTTTCTGTGCACCTACCTAATCTTCTCTGTACCACCCTAAGGTTGACTGGGAGATAATGCCTTCGGCATTAAGTCCGCCTTTGTACCTTTAGTGCATAAAGGATAAATAAATAAATAAAGGTCAAATGTAAGTTTGTTTTATTTTTTTTTCGAAACGGATAAAATTTAAAATAAAAAAAAAGATAAAACAGAATATCTGGCAATGGTCGACAGAAATTTGTTAACAGTATTTATAGATAATTTGTATGTGCTATGCAAAATATCTGTATTGTTAGAAGATATGAGGGTAGTAGCACACTGCGGCGGCCTATAAACGGAGCAGCGCTCGCCATGTCAAGAGACTTTCTCATCGGCCGTTGTAGAGTGCGGTAGCTCTACACGAATTAATAACGATTGTGTCGGTTACTTTGAATCATAGTGAAACTTCTATTAAGTTTGGCCTACTGGCCAATAAGTTCTTTTAAAAAAATCAATTATCGTTTCTATTTCCTAACAGTATATTAACTACCTGTACACAAATTTTCAGACAAATGCGAATTATGGAAACGTGAAATGATTCGATAAGTACATTTTAATTAACAACATTATTTTTATAATGATTTTAAAAGTTTTGATCTCCGGAGTCTAAGTCCAATACAAAAATAAAAAAATACAACGGAATTGAGAACATCCTCCGTTTTCGGAGTCAGTTGAAAATACACTATGTTTTAGTCAACTCTATAATAATATCTCTAACAACACAGCCATTTAACTAACTATAATAAAATAACAGCTAAATACAGTAACTACTCTAATAAAGTAATAAACTTTTATCCATTTTCAATAGAATTCAGATTAATAAATAACGTTCCACGAGTTTCAAATTTTTAAACTACGCCACTTTTTTGATTACGCCATCTATATTGGAAAACGCAGACTTTAACGAGGATTTTGATGAAAATAAAAATTACATTTATTTTGCTTTTGTTACAGAGATAATTTTTATTTTTGTTAATAGATGTCTCTATCATAAACTTATGTTCAATTTTATTAAAGCTTTACTTCGATATGTAATGTTTTATAGATTGTTCGTATATTTTTTTTTAAATTCCCGACTGTACGAACATATTACAGACAATTGTCATGTACACGGGACCGACAGATGATAACGCCTAAAATTCATAATTGACCTACGCGTCTACCTTTTGATTAGTCCTAGACTATTCACACAACAATAACAATTAACTTTACCTCATTAATCAGTTTAGGTACTTAACCATGTGTAGTATTAAAATAAAAAAATAGGTTATTATTTAAAAATAGCAAATTATATTGCATATAATGCAAACATTTTGTGTCTGTTAAAAGTTATTTGTTTTTCAGAATGTTTCAAATTAAAAACCGACGACAAATTACCATCTATAATGTTGAATCTGAATAACCTTGGAGAAACTCGTATAAAGGAAACAACATAACAAACATAGTAACATTTTTATTTAAATGCCAATAGCCAACTGACAATCAATTCATCCTTAATATCACAAAGATTTAACATGTTTTGGCTTAAATGTAAAAAAACAATAAATACAACTCAATGAGAGGTAAAATTAAAAGCTTCAATACAGGATATGTAAATAAAAACACCTTGGAAAATCATTGCAATGGACGGAACGAAATGTGAGCTATTGTTTTATATTTTAAAACAATTTTGAAAGAAAACTTGAGCAACGTTTATACCATGCTTTTGTACTTATTTCTATAAGCAATGCTTATTAGCTTTATAAAGTCATTCAAATTTCATCAAAGCAAAAACGCACTACTTATTAAATATCATAAAAATGTGACAGACGTAAAACACTACTACCTAAAATGATTTTAGATATTACAATAATAAAATGTTACTAAATTATGTTCATCATATAACGTATTTACTGGAATGTGCAGTACTTTTTTAACTTTCCGCAAATAAAGTAATAGAAAAATATATAAGAAACATATAGTGCCTAATCTACACAAAAATAAATGCTTAAGTTGTAAAGTTTAATTACTATTTTTTTTCTGTATATCAAAGTTGTAAAAACAGATAGGTACCTATCTAACTTAAATTAAAAATTCAAAAAAAGAGACATGTATATAGATACCGACTTAAAAGTACAAATATTAAAATATGTTTATCACATTATATAATAAATTTTTATTTGTTTATAGAACTAATAGGAATTCTTTATATACTAAATGTTATACATTTAGACTATTGTACTAACTAACAACCATTCCGATTATTAGGTAAGTATTTATTTATAATACAACATGATTATATTTTGCCCAAATCTGAGAAAAAGATAAGCATAAATTTTGCTGCTAAATTCTTATATTAAAATTAAAATTACTGATTAGGCACAGCACCTAAGAAAACAAGATTCCAAAAACAAATGTAACATTTTGAGGTTATAATTATGGCAAAATTGCACCTTGGAAATGGTGCATAAAAGTACCAGCAAACTCTATTGAGTTAGTTGATAAAGTTTTTTTTTTTTATTAATAAATATTCGATGTTGCAGGATTAAGTCTCGATCGCCGTCGAATCTCCTTCATTAGTCCTTAGAGATATAAAACCATATAACTAATTATCACAGCACATACACTTAACGAATAACTCAATACGTTCGGTTTCATGTTCCCACCGCTAGATGTCCAAAAGAAAGCGGGGTGTTTGTTGCAGTTCTCGTGTTTCTCCTCCGTCAAACACATTGCATACGCCATCAGATGCGGGATGGCGCTTTGCTCGTAGCTCGAAGTGAATAGATGTTGCCAAGGGCCCAGAGCGAAGACCGCAACGTCTTCGCCGCCATGCGTCTCCGAGTCTAAAGGCACCAAGCTCGGGTACGAAAAGTCTAAAGCGCCTGTAAGTTTATAGTAGCAAAAATCAGTAGTTGGATATAACGCCATTATATTTTTCAAGGTGCCTAATTTCTATTACAGAAAAACTGATTAGAAATACTTTTGAAGTTGTTGTTTGTAGTTGTTGGATAAGATGCTTATTAATATGGACAATCATCCTTAGAAATAAGGAACTTTGATATCGAAAACCGCCTACCAGTGCAGATTACGACAATAAGGTTCGTTAACAAGTAAAACGTTTTTATAACAAAAGCAGCCGACTTCAAATATCTCACTATAAATTTTCTCTTTAATTTTGAGGAGTTCTCTGTTGTATCTCGGATTCCAAAGTCCAGTACCAATTAAATTAATACGAGTACCACATGGGAGCTAAACAGAAACCAATGCAAAAAATTTAACGGTTCATAAATGACGTCAATTGTGAATCGGTTCATAAATGACGGAGTTCAGGGGTGACAAACACAAAAGAAAACACGCAACCGAATGGGAAAACTCCTTTTTGAAGTTGGTTCAAAAACAAAACACTACCTCGTTACACAACTGTAACAAATAAAACTAGAAGCCATTCATTAGAGGAAGAAGAAGAAGAAGAACAAATATAATATAATTTATAATTTTTAACAAAAAACAACCGACTTCAAACCGGAAACATTGTTAATACCTATAACATTTGAGGATTGGCTTCGATTTCTCTGAGATTCCATCATCAGATCCGGGTTTCCTTATCATGGTACCACCCTTGGGATATCCATTTCCGACAAAAAAAAAAAAAGAATCATCAAAATCGGTTCATTAACGACGAAGTTATCCGCGAACACACATAGAAAATATATATGTACACCTACGGTCGAATTGAGAAACCTCCTTCTTTTTCGAAGTGGGCTAAAAACTCTCACCGTTCTTGAAGTCGTCGAGCAGCGTCACGTCGACCCTGCCGCCGGGGCCGTACGACGCGGCGCGCCCGTTGGCGTAGCTTATCGCGGTGTACGGCCGCGCGTCCGAGCCTGTCGCGGTGTCCACCGCGCCGAGTATGTCGTTGCCGCGCGACGGGTAGCCGGCCACGGTCATGGTGTGCGCGTGGTCGGCGCTCACCACGATCAGCGTGTCGCTTCCGTCGGTGAGCTCGCGCGCTTTCCCCACCGCCTTCGCGTACTCGACCGTCTCGTCGAGGGCCAAGCGCGCGAGGCTGTCGTGGTGCGCGTGGTCGATCCTGCCGCCTGTGGTCGAAAGGTAAGTTTGATTGCGCGTGGTCGACAATGCCGCCTGTGGTCGCGAGCGCGGGTGGTCTACTGGAGGTTGCAGGTCTGAGCGCGGAAGGATGTTGTCAGAGAATTTGGTTTATTAAAGTCGGACATGTTTCGTGCTGTGACATGGACTGATATTTATATCCTCTAGATACAATGCCAAGAATAATAACCTTCAAGAAATAGCGGTATTTTTCAGTTATGATATGCTCCGCTTCATGGTATGCTTTCTTTAATTGAGATTTCTTTGATATACCTGTGTTGTAGTTGTTAGTGTTGTACCCATGTGTCTTATAGTTATAAGTCCTGTATTTCTCTTGGTGTACAATAAAGTATATTTAAATTCTGTTATAAATAATTTTTAATTTTAATGGTTCAGGTTTTTTTTTAAGTGAGACTTTGGTAAGCTAGCTGGCGGTTCACCTGATGTTAAATGATAACCGCCGTCCGTTGACATTTACAACAGCCGTAGTGTTGCAGATACGTTGCCACCTTTTAATAAAGTGGGCCCCAGCAACCACAGGACATGTGAGGACATGGTACAACTTGGACGGATCTGCTCCTTCGTGGAAAAGCGAAGACTGCTGCGTGGCCCTACCACTATTGTGTAATAACGAATTGGGATGTACCTAATTGATATTCTATAAGATAATTCGTTTTTAACAATATCGGTAATTTTTTGTTTCTTTTTAAACATTGCCCTTATTTCAGGATAACATTATCCTGTGTTGTAAGGGCGTTTTACAAACAAATTTCACGTGGACAAACCAAAGACCGACCCGACGCCAAAGCCAATACTAAGACAATAATTTGGCGAACCGAATGGCGTAGTGGGTAGTGTACCTGCCTCCTGCGCCAGAGGGTGTGGGTTCGATCCCCACTACTGGAAAAATATTGTGTGAACATGGTGTTTTTCTAGTGTCTGGGTGTTTATATATGTATAATATGTATTTATTTACAAAAGAAAAGTATGTTTAAGGATGTTTATCAGTTTTCTAGTACCCATAGTACAAGCTTTGCTTAGTTTGGGACTAGAAAATGTTGTGTAAAAATGTGTTCTAAAATATTTATTTATTAAAAAAAAATACCTTGGCCACGGAGTCATCAAATATAATAATCTGGGGCGTACCTTCTACGAACAAGAAGTAGCCCTTCTCGCTCCTGTTGAGCATTTTGATGGCGACCTCGACCATCTCCTCTAGAGTCGGCTGGTTGTCGGCCTTCATGTGATAGTCCATATGGTCGTCATTGAACAAGCCCAGCATGTACTCCGGGAGGTCGTTGGAGTTGAACACCTGGAATGTTGGATGAAAATAATGTAATGGCAGCGGTTATGTGACGAAATAACAATTCTTCATGAAAAAAAGTAAAATATCGGCATAAGTATATAGTACTCTGCTTTAAGACAACAAATAAAAACTTTTGTGTCATAAAAAGGGGACATAGTATTTTCAGATGAAATCTCCCATTGGGTGTCTATTGTATATTGTAATATATATATTCGGAATTAATCTACATCTGACATTTGTCACGCCAACTTTAATAATCGCGGGTACGTGCTTATTCACTTTATATGTAAAGTATTAAACGAGCGTGTCGTCATTAAGTTATTACTGTTGACAACGAAAATTCATAAAATTCCGGGGTAACCAAAGATTTCGGGATTCCGGGATTAAGGGATGTCCCCTGAAGGTTTATTGCGAGTGTCCCACAAGTAACTTGTGTCTTCGAGTAAGTCTTCGAGTGTCCACGCAAGCGACTACGAATGCATCTTCTAGTGTAATCAAACATACAATGGCGCTGCGCTATATATGCGTCAATTTGCTTACGCGCTATACACGCGTCACAATTTGCTTACGCGCCTAACTACACATGTGTCCCTACAGTATTACTCATTAGTGATTCAGCGATTAAAGAAAAACTATTAAGGAGAACGTCTGAGGTGATGCTAATTCGATTTGTTCTGCGATACAACTAAGTACACTATGCGGTGATAAGTAATGTAAGGCGACGTATATCAACGCATTAATAGCGGGGCAAAAAAGTTTACGTGTACGGTTTCGTCCCAACTGCTTGTACAATGCGTGGCAAATTGAGGATTAAATCAATAAATTCATTAATTATTTACCACTTCGACTGATAGTTGCAGATACTTTTGATACTTCCTCACTACGCTAGTCTTCTGTGCAGTGTCCCGGTCGAGCCTGATAAGTTGCATTATCACAGAGATCTGTAGACGAGGTCGCCCAATAGCCTACCGATATATTATAGCGGGCCAGTCGTGAAAATAAGTAATCTAGATGTTCATCGTCATCATTTCAGCCTGTTAGAGCTCGCTGCTGAAGATACGCCTACCCCACAGATTGCCACGAAGCACGATCCTGAGCCACCTGCATCCATCGGCTTCCCGCACACTTGTACAGGTCGTCACTCAATCAGGGTCATCCTACACTGCGATGGCCAGTAAGAGGCGGTCACTCCAGAACCTTTTTACCCATCGGCTATCAGTTCAACAAGCTGTCCATCGCCACTTCAGCTTACTAATCCTACGAGCTATGTCGGTTGTCGTGTTACCTTAAGTCAAAACACCAACCTTCATCAGCTCGGCCCTGTTGGTGACGTACTGATGGCTAGCATTCCTCTGGACCTTGTCTTCGTGCCACATCTCAGCCAGGTCGAGTCCATCCCTCCTCTGCCCCGCACTCTTCAGCAACGGCGTCGTGGTGTTGGGGAAGAACTCTCGCCTGCCACCACCCATTATGACCTGCGAAATGGTATGGAAGAAATTGTTCAGATAATCGTAAACAATATGTCCTTAGGTTGATTAAGATTTAGGTAATTAAAAGTTTTAATGAAACTAAACGAGGAATCAACCCCACAGATATCGTTATAGTCTTGGGTGAAATTGTCATTTAGCTCTTTCCGAATAAAACTATTTACATGTTATTATCAAATAAACATATCAATGATTAATAAATAGGGAGAAATGTTGTTATTACCAATTTCATATCCATTTCTCTATTATTTTGTGTAACTGACATTCACACTAGGAAAAATCTGTCGGAGGAACTGTCGCGAAAATGAATGTAAATCACTCGAAATAATTATTTATGGGTCAAAATTAAAATATTTTTTTTAATTAATATAATATTATGTTTTTTTAACCTTTAGGATTTAAACCTGACCCCATAACACGCTCCTGACTATCTAATTGAGCTAAATCCTTACTAATATTATAAACGCGGAAGTTTGTATGTATGGATGGATGTTTTTTACTCTTTCACGCAAATACTACTGAATGGATTTTAATGCAACTTTACAATAATATAGCTTATACATCAGAAAAAGACATAGGCTATAATTTATATACATATTTTATGTATATCTTTCTGTCCGAATGTTACGCCTTCAGCCTATTCTACGCAGACGTAGTCGCGAGCAGCAGCTAGTATATTATATAAATACAGCATATCTTCACACCGACGAAAATATCAACGTATTTATCAATGTTATTTTATTGCATTTCAAGCAATGCTAGGCGCCGCTCATCGGGATCATTCAAAGGTTTGTCCCATGTTTAGACTTGAACCATCGACGCGGTGAGCAGTGTTAGGGAACAAGGCGCCCATCTAAACCAATGAGCTATTCGTGGATTAGTTTTTTTTGGTAAAAAATATGCCAATTCTTTAGGATATATATAAATTATACAATCTAATATATAAAGTTCTCGTGTCACGGTGTTTGTAATTGAACTCCTCCGAAACGGCTCGACTGATTTTCGTGAAATTTTGTGTGCATATCGGCCAGGGTGGAGAATCGGATAACATCTATTTTTCATCCCCTAAATGTTTAGGGTGGTTCACCCCAAACATTTTTTTCTACCCTACAAATAATTTTTATGGCAAAATAACGTTTGCCGGGTCAGCTGGTATTATATAATAATAGCCTGTATTGTAAAGACGTTTTACATACATAAATTTCACGTGGACGAACACTCAGACCTGAGACAGGTATCTGTGGGTCACACGAATAGTTGTCCCCAACGGGAATGGATACTATGAACCCCGGGCGAAGCTAGTAACTTGGCAACAATACCACTGAGTTATAACTGACACTATTAAACGCGAGCCTGAAGAGCTTACACAATAATTATGTTTTGTGTAATAACTTAATTCAAATTTGCCACTAGTCTTCGGCTTTAGGCTGTCCGTCACTGTCTGTCATGTATCACACTCATTATCTTTACAAAACAATATTTACGCACTAACTATTTACCTATTACAAATACGTTTGCAGATGTAGCTTTATAGAAGAATATTGCTTAAAAAATAAAAGAACATTTAGGTCGACGGTTTGGAATTGCAAAACTATAATGCAATGTAAATCGCTTGCCCAAAGCGATTTACAGATTTTAGATCGTATCGTAAAGGTGTGCGTGTACTAAAGGGATGAAGAATAACCAAAAGAACCATGCTCATACAAAATATCACCAATAAGTTACTACTGGGACTGGGTGTAATAACAGAATATCGATTTTAAAATGTCGGCACGAATCCAGGCTTGAAGCGTCGATTAAAATAACCGACAAATTCATTTGAAATTACGAAATTGTCGAATCCAAGAATCGAATTTCGCAGAATTTCGAATCCATGGGGTACGGGAACTCCCAAGTATAAAGCCGCGACCGCTTAATTAATTTTTAAACATAAGACTGGTTATGGTTTCATAATGTGATAAAATATATACATATAATCTTCAACAGCTCCAGTGTGAGAGTACCGTTACGTCTCAATTAAATTTGCTGACTGTATCGTATTAGCTTTGGTTTCACGTCAATTGATAGGAAAATACTTGAATAACGTTACCGGGACCTTATAACGCTGACAATAAGACGCAAATTACAGTGGCTTACGTAATTATAAAGGCTGGAGCAGTAATAAGCCACATGTTTCACCTATCTTCTCTAAACTATAAAATTTTTGTGTCAGAGTTTTAGTGTTTATACTCGTCCGAAACAGCTTGACCGAATCACTAGAATCACTTACTTAGATAGTATAGTAAACTACGAGTATAAGTGTGGGAAATATCATATTACTAACTCCGCGCAATTTTCGTAAAAATGGGCACAAAGTTTTTGCTTATATATATATATATATATATATATATATATATATATATATATTATATATATATATATATATATATATATATATATATATATATATATATATATATATATATATATATATATAGATGTCATAAATATGTCCTTGAACTGAAAGCTAGTGATGAATTACTCACCTTGAGCTGAAGGCTATAAATAAACATATCACCTTCAACTGAAAGCTAGTAATGAATATATCACTTTGAACTGAAAGCTAGGAACGAATATATCACCTTGAAATGAAAGCTAGAAATGAATATATCACCTTGAACTGAAAGCTTGCAACGAATGTAATCACCTTGAACTGGCGGCCGGGGTTCTCCATGATCAGCTGATAGGCGATGTCCCGGCAGCCCAGCGCCAGGCACTCCTCCGGCACGTCTGCGTCGCACTCCCAGTTCCTCTCCGAGGTGTGGGCGTACATGCCCGCTGGGGAAGCGTGCGTCACCCTCGTGGTTGTCACCAGCCCTGCCGGTAATATGGAGGCGAATGAACGAATGAAATACGCCTTACTGTACACCGGTGACGAATGAACGAATGAAATACGTTTTACTTTACACCAGGCAAAAATTAAAAGAGTAACAAGGGGGTTGCATGATTCGATTCCTCCCACCCCTTTCGATCATCGGACAACTAGGCGTTCGGCGAGACTCCACCCTGTCGACATTCCACGCACAAGGACAATGTGATTCGCTTCGTCATTTATCATCCGTACAGCTAAGGGATGGAACAACCTGCCGGCGTCCGTCTTTCCGTCCGATTACAGCGTTCAAGGCAAGACTGCATAGATTTTTACTGAGCTAGCGCGCTTACTATCAAAGGCTGCAACGCCACTTACAATCAGGTGGCATGGCAGTCAAGTGCTGGCCAATTTTGAATTAAAAATAATTACATCAAGGTACAATTGGCGGTCATATCGCTTAGAAGCGATTCCTTCCGGGCAACGACGTTACAGAGGATACAATAATCAGTGACAGTGATGCTTTGTTGATAACTTGTTTTGATCACGTGAGTGATACTAACTAAAATGAATGTTCTGTATGCGTATATAAACCAGGAGGGAAAGAGAAATAAGAGAAAGAGAGAACGCAGTGAAAAAAAAATCTGTTGCATATCAAGCTAGTGGAAATTTACTATTTCTCGAGCCCTGTCTGATGATAGTTGGTCCACTGAAAACAAACCGACCGGTACACCCGAGTGGTAGAGGCTAATGCAGCGAAAGGATCGTAAAATTCAAAATCCTTATTATTTTAAAACAATGTTATTGTATATGCTAGCAGTCGAGGCTTTATGTATTTATTTTGTTGATGGGCACGTGATCCGAGATCGAATTTTCTACGTGCGAAAATCACCGTCACCCATTTGTGCCCCGAGTACGGTGACAGGCGACCGGCTGTTACCTTTTGGGAGTGTGCAAGCTCGTTAAAACGTGCATTGCATTTTTAAAACGAGTTCTGACTGCGAAGCTTATAGCTCCTGTAGCGTGCATCGAATTTGCTTACATATAATTTATATAGATAAATTACAAGTAGTGGAAATTTCATACTCCTCTGTCCGCGCAAGGTCGTAAAAAGGGGTACAAAGTTTTTGCTTCACGTATTAATGTCCAGAAGATTTATTAATATTGTTGTGTATTTATAACAGGAATATGTTTCAAATGAACATACACAAAAATACGTTCGAGCTTAAATAATAGTAAGGAATTTATTGATTGTTAGCAACCTTAAAGTGCGGTAAAATACCAATTTCTTGAAAGAAACTGACACACTTTACACTTTTCTCTTTACTTTCAAAGTTTATTTCAATTTTACTTGTCCGATATTTATTAGTGCCGTGGTTGAATTTTCTAATTAGAACCAAGGTTAAATAATTAGAAGAGCGCTAAGTAAAAAGAATATACGTCATTAATTGTTCGCTTTAATTGATGGAGTGATTTTCTACGGAGAAGGTACGAGTAATTCAAACAGCTTACGATCTGTCTAAACAATGGACCATAAAACTAAGATGGCTGAATAACAATTTATATAACCGATTGACTCTAAACAATCATTCATTTATTAGCGTCACTACTCTAGAAACAAAACGACGGCTTATTACAAGATATTAATTATTTGACATTAATGTTACCAGGCAAAATTATGTGTACATTTATATTTTATTTTAATTACCGTATGATGACCCCGTGTTGCAAAGGCGTATTACATTATTAAAAAAACCGGCCAATTGCGAGTCGGACTCGCGTACGAAGAGTTCCGTACCATTATCAATAAAAACGGAAATAAAAATTTTCTGTGGTATGGGAGCCCCTCTCAAATATTATTTTATTCTGTTTTTCAGTATTTGTTGTTTTAGCAGCGACAGTAATACATCATCTGAAATTTCAATTCTCTAACTATGACGGATTCATGAGATACATCCTGGCGACAGATAGACAGACATACAGCGGAGTATTAGTAATAGGGTCCTGTTTTACCCTTTGTTTACGGAACCCTAAAAATGACTAGCACCCAGATGCTAAACAATTGACTTTAGTTTCTTGTATTTACGCGATTACACATTGTAAATGAAACAATTTTTACGGATTTATCGTGTTTATTTTTAACCTTCATTCCCGAACTTAACAGCGTTCATGGATACATAGATCGGACACAAAATTAATAATTTAAAAACTGACAGTATGCCGGGTTAACTGTGGCATTCATACGTCCAACGCATCAGTCTCAATCTGTCCCGAGACCATGAACGCTGTAAAGGGTTCGAAAAGTCGGGAATTAAAATTAATAATAAACGCAAAATGACCATCAAATTGAGGCCCTTCTCCTTTTTTGAAGTCGGTTAAATAGTTTAATTTGTAATTAATTTTTAATCAAAATGAAATAAACAAAAAAAGAAAAATCAATTAACTGGTTATACAAATACTACGCATGGGAATTAAACACAGGACTGCGCTGAAACCTATTGCTTGGAAACAGAAAATAGGGATGTTAAAATATATATACGAATTTAGATATAACAAATGTGACAAAGAGATATTTACACAGTGAACATCGTATACCTAATAATATTTTATAATTATACAGTACGCGTAATAGTGACAAGTTTATCTGTATAAACAACATACATCTAGTGATTTTTATTGATTTAATTCTTGAATAAATAATTGTCTCATACCGCTGTTCCGTATTTCGTTAAGGATTAAAAAATAACTACCTTAATAGTACTAGCCTATATATATACAGCCTATAGTAGCCTCTCGTATCTGGCAAAATGGTGAAGGAATCGGGGAAGGTTTATCCTGCTCCGAGGCGTAGAGCAGCTGGCCAGCGAGGAGGTTTAGCTTAGTGGGTACGAACCATTGCCCCCCCCCCCCCCCCCTCCCCAACGGAAGAAAAAAAGAACCAATAAGGGTTGTTAATCAACAGGTCTTACCCACGTCCAAGCCATTGTCCAAGGCCCACTGGCCTATCGACGTTGCCCAGTTGCCCTGGTGCAGCTGCGAGCTGCAGGCGCCCCTGGTTACGTTCCCATCGAGGCCGACCACCCCGTACTTGGTCTTCACGCCGGTGAGGTACGAGGTGGCGGTGCACGCGGAGTCCGGCACTTGAGCGTCCAAGCAGTACGTCTGGAAGGGGTGCAACGCTTGAAAAAGGATCACTACGAGGGCCAGCATGCGTCTTTTGTACAGCCTATACATATCCAACTGCTGGGCAGAGGTCTCCTCAGTACAGAGGGTTATAGGGCATAGCATTTGTATTAGGTACAGTGTAAAAGTAAAGTAACAGTCTATTCATATCCCACTGCTGGGCAAAGGTTTCCACTGTACAGAGGGTGTTAGAGCAGAGTCCACCACGCGCCCCCACTGCGGTTTAGCGGACTTCACATATCTTCGAAATGTTCGAAGGTTTCCTCACGATGTTTTCCTTCACCGCTGAGCCCGTGGTAAGTCAGCATTTAAAATTAACAATTTCATAGGTGGCCGCACCGAGGATCGAACTAAGGTTGCTCGAGTATATCAAATTAAAGGCGAGCACCCGGACACTGAGCAATCACTTATCTTACAATGTTATGAGTACGTAGGTAGTAAACGAGCTATGGTTGGGATTGCACCGAAGAGTTTTCGTAAGATCGCTCATGGACATTCGTATGAAGAGAGAGTGTGATTCGTTTTCTAGAGCGTGGGATATTGATTTTTTTTTTGTAACAAGATGGCAAGTCGACAGCTCTTATATGGTAGGATTTTTTTTGTTTCACTCTTAGTTTCAAGCGGATTTAGGATTGTCGCTATTTAGAATGGTTTATATTTATCATATTTTTGGTTCATTAAAAATATGATTTTTGCAACAGCCTCATTAATTAATTATGATCCGTCTGAAGTTACTTCAACATTATTCGAATTTACAATATGTAGTGCACCTTTTTAAATTTCATTCAGAGGTTGGTTAGGATAGTTTGGACCAACAAAACCTTTTATATTTCTTTACTTTAATAGGTATATACAAATATAAGTAGATTTACGTTATAGTACGTGAAGAAGATAATATGATTAGAATGCATTTTCAATAGCAAATTTTAATGTGAGCCGTGCTATTTAATGGTCACGTAGACTTTGATAAGGTACGGACTCCATTTAATATATATGTAAATTTTTCTTTGTTATATAAGTTACAGTTATGATGACTTGGTGCTTCGGGTAACTTTGTTGGGACTTGTCGAAAATGTCAAAAGTAAAATCCATTTAAGATGCACTAATCAATGTCGATTACGATTTTTCAAATTACTCGCATTTAAATACATATCACGGACGACCTAGCCAAGATCGCAGGGACGCGTTGGATGCAGGGCGCTGTTTTATACGTGATAAAACAGCATTTAAAATTGTTAAATCATCAGCTCATCGGTGAAGTTATATTAGTTGTTGAAAACGAGCGTGTCTCGCAATCAAATTTAAAAGTTTGACCAGAATAGCTATGTAAACATATATCTTTGTAATTTTTTTTTATTAATGAAATAAAAATTAAAATAAATAAAATATATGCGGCGCGATTTGAGTAGTGTAAGAATAACCTCTATACAGCTCCTCTGTTTATATCAGCTGTTATTTAACTTTATCGTACTATTGTTATTCCATTCAAAGTTTTAAACGCTCAATTACCCGCAACCCGCTCTAACTATTAACAAATAACTTTTTATTAACAAAAAACGTAAACGAATTCAAATACCTCACTCGCTATGCATTGTCTATTTGATTTTCCGTAGTTACCTGAATTATCATCCAAGTCCAAGGTTCAATAGAAATTAAATAACATGGCAACCAAACCGAACCCAATGCAAAAATTACGTAACAAGGCTTCAAAGACAACTCCTTTTCGAAGTCGGCTAAAATAAGGCTCGTTAGCGCGTCACTAACGAGGAAAAGAGGGAATCGGACGAGACTATTCTGCTCCATTGAGACATTCATTTACATATGGCATCTGGCTGTCGTCCATTGATTTTTCATTGCCAAGATTGGAGCATTGTCCAATTCAAATCGGCCAAGTGCGAGTCGGACTCGCGCACAAAGGGTTACTTAGGTACTTTTTAAGCACGATATAAGATGTAGTACATGCAGTCGGAGCCGCGGACGTGAAGTTAGTCTAATCTACATTGTTTTTAGTGTATATTTTGTAGCAAGGCAAAATTTTGTTTATATAGATTTGACGGATAAAATGCTACGCAGTTTTCTGTGACAAAATTTTGTTTACATAGATTTGACGGATAAAATGCTACGCAGTTTTCTGTGACTGAATCAGTCTTTCATTCATTCCTTAACAAACTGGTTCAGACAGAAAACCTTCAAATGTTAAGGGATATTCAACTAGAAGACATTCTATTTTATTTAATTTATTTCGGAAAGCCTACAGCTAATGAAAAATTATAACAATTCTACAAATACAGAACAGTTAATGCTATACGCTTAACAATAGGTTTTTTATTTTATTTAACAATTTTTTAAGTTATTTGCTAACTTATACGCCGTCCTTTATATTTACCTTGAAAAATACTGTTAATTTTCCCTTCTTGTGTCAGGGACAGGCAGATAACAAGGCGTTGAATTGCATGGATAATTATTTCTCTAACACACTGGGTTTTATTTTTAGATACATATACGTATTTTTCTGGGTTTTAATAATTCAAACCCGAAGATTCGACAAAAACCGGCCAAGTGCGAGTAGGTCTTGCGCATGAAGGGTTCCGTACCATTATATATAAAAATGGCAAAAAGAATCATGTCTGTTATATGGGAGGTGCACTTAAATATTTTTTATTCTGTTTTGTAGTATTTGTTGTTATAGCGGCAACAGAAATACATCATATAAATAAATATTTTAGGACAAATTTTCACACCACGTTCTCTCAGTCCCAAACTAAGCAATGCTTGTACTATGGGTACTAGATAACTGTTAAACGTACTTAAACATAATTTTCTTTTGTAAATAAATACATATCATACATACATAAACACCCAGACACTAGAAAAACATTATGTTCATCACACAATATTGTTCCAGTAGTGGGGATCGAACCCAACACCCTCTGACGCAGGAGGCAGGTACACTACCCACCACGCCATTCAGGTCGTCGGTGAAATTTTCAACTGTCTCTCATGGTTCATGAGATACAGCCTGGTGAGAGACGGACAGACGGACAGACAGACAGCAGGGTCTTAGTAATAGGGTCCCGTATTACCCTTTGGGTACAGAACCCATTTACATTCTAACGACCTACAACTACTTAATTGTAAATTATGTCTTAATTATTTACTTACTTATTAAGTGAATGTTATACTTTTTATGGAATTGAATAATGGATTTATTGTATTCTTTAACATCAATTCTTATTTAGGAAGAAGTTAAGATAAAAAATGCCCATATTTTACTCCTGTTTAATAGAAATTAAATTAACAAGTTACATACGCATTATTATTTTCAGCTTGTTACAGGAAGGAAAAGTAAGACATTAACTCGATATAGTTAAGCTTTCGATCTTGAAAAACAATGGAATATTCTGTCTTGTTGTTACTTCCCAGTTTGGTTACTAATTGGTAGAACCCTGATATTATCTATTACTATAAAATTTTGGCTTAGTGAGCAGTGACTCTGCATCTTGTGCCAGAGGGCGTGGGTTCGATCCCCATACTGGAAAAATATTGTATCTGGGTGTTTATATATGTATGTTTAAGTATGTTTATCATTTATCTAGTACCCACAGTACAAACTTTGCTTATTTTGGGACAAGAGAACGTTGTGTAAAAGAAACGTGTCCTAATTAAAAATATATATATTTTTAGTAAAAAGAGCCTTGACATAGTGAAGCTACATCGGCTGTTGTTTAGTAATGTCTGCGATTTCTTTGTAACAACAACCTTTAATGGGTAAGCGTACAAGTATGTCCGGTATGATTTTCTAAAACCAGCTCGAGCCAATGACTTGATGAGATGATTACAAGAATTCTGTCTGCACTGCAACACATTAACCAAACATTTTTTAAAAAAAACTGTTAATAATTTTAGATTCCATTTGAATGACCTTGCTCTTATCAAGTGGAGCCCCTCAGAGGCTAATTTTTGCACAATAACTTCCGTTAAACGTAATAGTATTTAATTAAGCCTTTATCAATGAAACCACTGTCCTTGCAACGAAGGAAAAACACTTTGGAGCGGAATATATAAATAAGTAATTATTGTTATCATTTCATTGACTATGGGGAAGGGTATTTTCACTGGGGTATGTATGTCACACAATAGCTTCCCACTTGTGCACGGCCTCACAGTATACCAACGTGAAGTAGAAGTATCATACTCTTGCGTCTTGCTCATCTCATCTGGTAAGGTGGCCGGGCCCACTGTTATGAAAATTGGCAACGCACCTGCAACTAATCTGGTGTTGAAAATTTCCACGAACCGTGGAAATCAGTTCAAGTAAACCATCTACTTAAGGAACCATAATCCTAAGGAACGCAAATATTCTGAAGGAATCTATTCCACTGACGAGTATCATAGGAATCTTCCCAAATAAAATAGCTAAAATTTACGGAATAGCACAGAATGTCTAACAATAGTAGAAGAATATTTTTAATACCTAAAAATAATTATGTGTCGATGGAATAACGACTTTCGTCATAATCAAATCATTTATTTAATACTATAATGAAGACGTGACAGCGAAGACTATTGAAAAAAATTCCTCAATTTGGGGACGAAATGAATATAATGGTATTAATATATTTAATTGTGTTATTGTAAATAACAGATTAAGTCCATAACATCCAAAATAAATATGTCAACAGCACTTCCTCAACATAGCAATGCATTGTTAGGCTAAGGAAGTTCATTTCATGCACAGCGATTGTGCAATAAATCTAGACGGGCTCTTCACGTCGAGTTCGCCCTTCCGATGGCCATTATTATCTTTGCATCCGCATCCAATTTAATCTATTCAATGACAAAAAGGATAAATGACCGGCATAATAAAATAGACCTCTGTGAGTTCCTTTTCTACGATACGACCTTTGGTCCAATTGCTTGAAGACAGACGGTACGACGATTCCTCATTTATAATACTCATCTCGATATTTGGTGAAAAT